TGAAAAAATCCCTAGGGCCAAAGTATTTGCTTAGCTAGTTAATTGTTACATTCTCCGCTTAGTTATAATCACACTATTCAATTCTGACTGACTTGACTTAATAACAATTTGAGTGAAATTAGTGGATAGTTAGCACAAGTCTTTGTAGGTTCGACACTCTACTTATTATTATATTACTTGTACGACCACATATACTTGCGTGTGCATTTGGAAGAAAATTAATTAGATCAATATAAAACTCTAGTGTGGTAATAAACATCTCAGTCTGGTTGTGAATTTAAATTTCAGACCATTCAATCCAGTCAACATTTTTTATAGCTCAAACGTATGGAACTCCAACACTATGATGAAATTTATGCCGCAACACTAACAAATTAAACGTTTTGCTGAATAAAGTATGACGTAATAGAATTAAATACATCAGTACATGCACACGGAACGCACACGTTTTCCTACACGTACTTGTATGATGAGAAGCAAATTCAGGATTTAAGTTTAATATATGGGTTCAATATTTAAGGTTTTAGCATTAAACTCATTGTATTTTTAAAATTATGGGTCCATATATGCCACTTCTTTCAATTTTAGTAATTTTTATAAATAAATTTGTATCTAAGAATGTCATTGGATATTTAAAAATCAACTAAACCGATTGAACTGTACCATACCAATATTGCGCGGAGATAATATTTTCTTTGGTCGGAACATTCTCTTTGAAATGTCCAACAACTTTAAAAAAATGGAAAACACATTTTTTCTCAGTTTGGACAACTGGATCAAAAGACACCATCGTTGTGTTGTATTTTGAGGTAAGGTCTAGCCCCTATGTTCTGTTTTGCTTAATACAACACCTGCCCTACAGGGTAGTATTTAACCCAAAAAAAAAAAAGAAATACAAAAGACACCACATAGATTCCCTAATAGTGAAGGAAAAAAGGAAAAAAAACGTGATTTTAGTGTACAAAATAGTGAAAGGCGATTTGGAACGGAGGGAAAAATAAACATAGTAAACGAGAAGACAAAAAAATCTCATCTCTTAGGATGTGGTTGGTAGGAAGGAAAATGTTTTCCTTATGAATAGTTTTGTCAGTTATTTTTCCTTGTTTGATTGGTGAGTGAAAATATTTTTCGAAAATTATTTTTTAGTATTTGGTTAGAGAGTAGAAAATAATTTTGTATGCAACTCTCTTCACCTATTTCCTCCAAATCCCCCTTCAGAATCTACAACATAAAAAGAAAGTATTTACGGAGGGGGTGGGGGCATGGCGGATTTAGGGGGGCGTAAGGGGGTTCAGGTGAACTCCCTTCGCCGAAAATTACATTATATATATAAGGCAATATCTATTTTTTACCTATATATTATGTTTTAAATCTCCATGACATATCCCAAAAGCAAAGCTTAGTGATCAAGGGGGTTCAAAACCTTGGTAAGGTCATTGATTCAATTCCCACTAGCTACAATCTTCTTTAACTTTTTTTCTTTTTTGAACCCCCTTAGCGTAAAACCCTGCCTCCGCCGCTCGTGGGGGGTTTAGGCGGGGATGGCAGTGTGTGGGCGGGGTAGGGGTGGTGGGGATAGAGAATAGAGTGGGGAATGTTGAAAAAAGATTTTGGAAAATAATTTCTCTTCTCTTGATAGAGAAAACATTTAAATGAGTTCATGAGAAAATATTTTCCAAAATATTTAAGCCAATTAACCAAACGTGAAAAAATTGGAAAATATTTTACTTCATACCGAACACACCCTTATCATTATAAATACTTATGCCTTCTCTTCAATTTGAGTCATCTCACTCTTCAGTCATTCGTCCTAGAGTTTCTTTCTTCACTACAAGAATACAAAATTCTAACTAATACCAAAAGTAATTTAGCAATGGCCTCAGGCAATAATATTGTGAAGCATGAAGAAGAAGAGATCGTTCGCCCCGTCGCCAACTTCTCTCCTAGTCTATGGGGTGATCGGTTCCATTCATTCTCCATTGACAATCAAGTATATATTCATCATCTTTTCTTTACATATAGTTTCCTCTTAATTACATGCAAGGCCAATGTGATATAATATTTCCTTTTACTTTTGTAATACATTTTATAGGTTGCAGAAAAATATGCTCAAGAGATTGAAGCATTGAAGGAACAAACAATGAGCATGTTATTAGCTACTGGACGAAAATTGACTGAGACAATGAATTTGATAGATGTTATTGAACGCCTTGGCATTGGCTACCATTTTGAGAAAGAGATTGATGAAATTTTAGAAAAGATTTACAATGAAAATACAAATTTTAAGGGTGATGACTATAATGATTTATGTACTTTTGCACTTCAATTTCGATTGCTCAGGCAACATGGTTACAATATATCTCCTGGTAAGTTCATCATAAAGCATGCCTTAACGTTGTTAAAATTATTATCAATTTATTGGAAGAAGGCTAATTAATCTTGAGTTTTCCCCCTTTAAATACCAGAAATTTTCAGCCAATTCCAAGATGAAAATGGCAAATTCAAGGAGTCTCTTGGTAGTGATGTCTTAGGATTATTGAGCTTGTATGAAGCTTCACATGTAAGGGCTCATGCTGACGATATCTTAAAAGACGCACTTGCTTTCTCCACTATCCATCTTGAATCTGCAGCGCCACATTTGAAATCTCCACTTAGGGAGCAAGTGACACATGCCCTTGAGCAATGTTTGCACAAGGGCGTTCCTAGAGTCGAGGCCCGATTTTTCATCTCATCAATCTACGAGAAAGAGGAATCAAAGAATGACATGTTACTTCGATTTGCCAAATTGGATTTTAACTTGCTTCAGATGTTGCACAAACAAGAACTTGCTGAAGTATCAAGGTGTTATTATATTTTCTTTTTTGGAGAACATAAAAATAAACCTTTTATTATTTCACAAGTGCTAATTTTAACTGGTTCTGCCGTAGGTGGTGGAAAAATTTGGATTTTGTGACAACACTCCCATATGCTAGAGACAGGGCAGTAGAATGCTACTTTTGGACAATAGGAGTGTATTTCGAGCCACAATATTCTCAAGCTCGGGTCATGCTTGCTAAGACTATAGCGATGATTTCAATCGTTGATGACACATTTGATGCTTATGGTATAGTTAACGAACTTGACATATACACGGATGCCATACAAAGGTATAAATAATTATTTACTTATCGCTCCTTGAAAGGGAGTAGCATGAAATAAAAGATTAAGACAAGCTCTTAGCTTGCTCATTATATTCATGCTGTTTTAATTATAAAATACATAAATTTTCTTTGTGACCCTCTAGGTGGGATGTTAGTGAAATTGATCGGCTCCCTGATTACATGAAAATCAGTTATAAAGCTCTTTTAGATCTTTACGACGACTATGAAAAGGAATTATCCAATGATGGAAGATCTAATGTTGTCTACTATGCGAAAGAAAGAGTAGGTGTCTCAAAGCTAACTATCCAATTAATGCTTTTACATTGTTTGTCATATAATTTTACCTTATCCTCGAGTTCTTTATACTTGGAACAATAAAATTAATTTCAATTTTTATGGTGTAACTTCAATCAGTTGAATGTATTTGCTTGGTATTGACAGATGAAAGAAATAGTAAGGAATTACAACGTTGAGGCGAAGTGGTTTATTGAAGGATATCTGCCACCTGTCTCTGAGTACTTGAGCATTGCATTAATAACTAGCACTTATTACTTGTTAACTACGACGTCCTATTTGGGCATGAAATCTGTTACCAAAAAGGATTTTGAGTGGTTAGCAAAGAACCCTAAAATTCTTGAAGCTAATGTAACATTATGCAGAGTTATTGATGATATCGCGACGTACGAGGTATGGATATTATCTCCTGAAATCATATGAAATTTGAACAAACTAACACTATAATAACAATTAAAGCAATATAAAGCTCATATGCAATCTATATTTCTTTGCAGGTCGAAAAAAGTAGGGGTCAAATTGCAACAGGAATTGAGTGTTACATGAGAGATTATGGTGTATCTACTGAAGAAGCAATGAATAAATTTCAAGAAATCGCTGAAACGGCATGGAAGGATGTAAATGAAGGAGTTCTTAGACCAACTCCTGTCTCAACGGAGATTTTAACTCGTATTCTCAATCTTGCTCGCATGATTGACGTTGCATATAAGAACAATCAAGATGGATACACTCATCCGGAAAAAGTCGTAAAGCCTCATATTATTGCCCTACTTGTGGACTCCATCAAATTTTAAACTGCCAATGTTGCTCATGTTGAGAAAACATTATTCTCTTTTATTAAGAAAATAAATATTTGTTCACTTTTTTTTTTTTTTTTTTTTTTTTTTTTAATTATGTCATATAAAGTTGCCAATAAGCTGCCTTTCGTGATGGTGCAGTATAGTTCCTATGTAGGAAATCCTTAAATCATTATAAGAAATAATATCACAAGTTCAATTCTTTTTTGTTTTTATGTTGGTTCTTATTGCCTATCTTAAATTGAATGTATAGAAATATTTCTGCCAATTGCAACTCAAACAAGAGTTTTAGCAAGTATACCCCTAGTTAAAACACGGAAGAACTCCAGACTGTGTTGGGAGTTCAAGCAAAACTCCGGCAAAATGTAGTGGAGTTCAAAAACTCCCTATAGGTAAAACTCCTGTGTAGTATGCTGGAGTACACACATTACTGGAGTTCGAAGGATACAGTAATCTAATCGATTTCAAGATCAGCGAAAGGACGTAACAAAACTTAAAAACATATATTAGAAAACTGTATGTCGCTGAATCTGAAAAAGATTCTAATTATATAAACCTGCTTAGGTGAGAATCTGCAAAGAAGTTGAAGAACGAATGAGTTTCAGATGATGTGTCTCTCTTTTCGAATGACGGGCTAATAACCTTTAATTTTTGTCACGTTGCAGTTCAAACTCCTTCTAGAATTACATACACATGTACTACAAGGAAAAACAATTGCCAAAAACTAATCTTTATCAGACCAAGTATGATAAAAATACTAAAACAAGGACGAGGAAAAGGCTCAGATTACTTCATACACTGAAAAATAAGTCACAACTCACAAGAGACTCTATTTATAAGGAAAGTAAGATTCCCATAACAAGATTCATGATTTAATTACTTAATGTCATATAACAAGATTTCTCAACAATGAAAGTGGATTCATAGCGTACGCTTGAAGATTATTTCTTACAGGAATTTTAATTAAGGAGATCCTAGTTAGGATCATGATCAGGTGATTTCTGTCCAAGGCTTTCCAACCGAAATCGATCGGAAATAAGAGTATTTGGTCGCAAAAGTCAACAAAATTTGCCTGCCAGCAAAAAAATAAAATTTCCGACCGAATTCGGTCGGAAATTGGTCAAATATTTGGTCATACCTGTAAACTATGTACAAAAATAATTATTAATTAAAAATTTACCAAATTTCTGACCGAATCGGTCGGAATTGATCAAATACTTGGTCAAACTTGTATATAATGTACAAAAATAATTATTTATTAAAAATTTTCCAAATTTCCGACCGAATTCGGTCGGTAAGTTTGAATTTTTTGTTTCCCGCACAAGACACAAATTATATATATATTTAATTAACCAGCCGAAATAATGCGTGCTTCATGATGAACTTACCAGGAGAGATGTTGAAACCATGATGTCTGAGCAATCGAAATTGAAGTGCAGAAGTGCACAAATCGTTGCAGTTTGAGTTTTGGTTGTAAATCTGATCCAAAATATCATCAATTTCTTTCTCAAAGTGGAGGATATATGCCAAGGCGTTCAATAATGTCAATGAAATTCAACATACTCCTCGTTTGTTCCTTCAATGGTTCAATCTCTTGAGCATACTTTTCTGCAATCTATTTATAATGTAGTTAAAAAAAATTAAAATTAGCAAAATTATAGTTGTTAATAAACATAAAGAAGAAATTAGCCGTGCTTGCAAGTAGAAACTATGTATAAATAAAGCAATAAATTATATGAAGAAATTAAGTAATTACCTGATTGTCAATGGAGAATGAAAGGAACTGATCGCTCCACAAACTAGGAGAGAAGTCAGCCACGGGGCGAACGATCTCTTCTTCGTAATTGTCAACTGCTGCTGAGGCCATTGCTAATTAAATTACTTTTAGTATTTGTTGCCGGAAATAGATTAACAGAATGTTTTTTTCTTCTAAGGAAGAAAGAGAGTTGAAACTGATGACTTAAAAGGAAGAGAATGGAGAAGTATATATAGTGGTGAGAGACATACATAAGCCAACTCTAATTAATCTTTTTAACATAAACAACTTGATCACATCGATGTGATGTTAAAATCATATTTTATCTGATCAAAATTAGCAGCTAATCATTTCCCAGTTGCGTATATCCCAGTAATTATAACCATAATTAGTAAAAAAGTAGCCGTTGGAACGCGCCCCACGCGCACGCAACACTAAAGTTCTCAAACCTCTTTCGATGAGTGCTCCGACCACCGCCGGGCAGCTAGCGGCTAGTGGACAACATCGGAATGATCCTCCGAGCGGTCAGCGGTGCGAACCTATCAGGATACTCAAAATCTTCATACGCCAATACTCTTACTGGTCCGAGCCGGCAAACTCTGTGATTGCCTTATCGCCCATCGGAACTCTACAAAGGCAAGCCTGCTGATTTCTTCTCCCCACAGGAAGAAGAGGAGCTAGCTAAAGTGCGTCGATTAACGGTAGTCGGAAAATTCTCACTTGGCAGACCATTAATTGAGGATATTCGCAGAGATTTCAATGCAAGATTTCCGATGAGAGGAGCTGTAAATTAGGGCATTACGATGTTAAACATATATTCATCGATTTTGCAGAAGAAGATTTCAAGGGGTTTTATTATTTCAGAGACAAAGTTACAATCTTGGGATTTCCTATGTGATTGGTTACATGTTGGAAATAGTGATAATCTATGCTCTAATTGTGATGCTGATTCTGTAGAGAAGAAAGGGAAAGAGGCGATATTTTCCAACCTGTGTTTTGTGTCAAAGACAGAAAGCTGCATATCTTCCCTTTCTCACGTCTTGAATGAAACAAGTGGGCAGCTTAGGAGCGTTGAATCAGATTATACAAACTTTCATCATGACCGTTCATTTAATAAGAAAGATAAGAGATGAGAATTTAGATTCTCTGGGCACGTGACAGAAGTTTGTTACACAGCAATGTATTTAGTAGTGTATAGAAGATTCTTTTCTGTTATTTTTAGGTCCAATAGAAAATAGACAAGTGTATAGCTATTTATTTATTTTTAAGTCAGATACATGTATAAATACATACACTGATCATTGAGAAGATCATCAGAAAAATTCTCTCAAATTCAATCTCTAGTTTTTATTTTCTCACTACTAGAATTCCGCAAAAAAGCGACCAAAATATAGCGACTAAAGTTGGTCTGAAAAGAAAAGCGACCAATGTTAGTCGCCAAACTAGCAAAAATAATAAAATAAATAAATGAAACAAATTAGCGACCAAGGATGGTCGCCACTTGGTCGCAAAATTATTCAAAATATTGACTGGACTGGTCAGACTTGCTTGGTCAAAGGTTTACTGAGATTAGCGACCAATGTTGGTCGTTAAAGTGAGACCCACCTTCAAAATTTTAATAATTATATTATTATTTTAAAAAAATATAAAATTTAAATATAAAATATAAATAAATCAAATTTAAATTTTGCGACCAACTTTGGTCGCTAAATTAATTTCATGTATAATTAGCGACCAAAGTTGGTCTCCATTGAGGTCAACAATGGTCAAAATTAAAAATCACTTTTGTATTTACTATCTAAATAACATAAATGTAAGCCGTCAATATATATATAATATATATACTTACGCTGTACTATGCACTAAGTATAAGTGTATTAGGTAATATTATATCCAATATATAAGGCGTATATATATATATATATATAATATATATAGTTACGCTGTACTATGCACTAAGTATAAGTTTATTAGGTAATATTATATCGAATATATATGGCGTATATGCACTAAGTAGTGTATTAGGTAATATTATATCGAATATGGCGTGTATATATATATATATATATATATATATATATATATATATATATATATATATATATATATATATATATATACTTACGCTGTACTATGCACTAAGTATAAGTGTATTAGGTAATATTATATCGAATATATATGGCGTATATATATATAATATATATAGTTACGTTGTACTATGCACTAAGTATAAGTGTATTAGGTAATATTATATATAATATATATGGCGTGTATATATATATATATATATATATATAATTACGCTGTACTATGCACTAACTATAAGTGTATTAGGTAATATTATATCGAATATATATGGCGTATATATATAATATATATACTTACGTTGTACTATGCACTAAGTATAAGTGTATTAGGTAATATTATATCGAATATA